CAAATTTAAACCCTACAATACACATGATACTTTAGCAGACTCAAACTGAGTATCAGAATTGGTGGCAATTCCCTCTCACTGATTCCTTTGGCTAACATAGCATATGACTCATTCATTATGGCTTGGATTTTCAAAGGAGCTTAAATAAATTAGATTCTCAACTCTCCTTGAACTTCGATGGGATGTGGGTGCCTAAAGAACAGAAAGTCATTGATAGATTGTTGACATTACAAGTCAGTTAAACAAAATCCATCTAAACTACTGTTATTGAAATAATGCACGTTGCTTATAGCAGTGGTTCTCAACCAGGGGTACATCCCTGGGGGTACATCAACTCATCTAGATATTTGCCTAGTTTTATAACAGGCTAATAAAAAGCAGTAGCAAAGTCAGTATAATCTAAAATTTCATACAATGACTTGTTTATACTGCTCTATATACTGAAAATGTAAGTACAATATTAATATTTCAATTGATTTATTTTATAATTATATGGTAAAACTGAGAAAGCAAGCAATTTGCAGTCATATTGTGCTGAGACACTTTTGTATTTTTATGCCTGATTTTGTAAACAAATAGTTTTTAAGTGAGGCAAAATTTGGGGGTATGCAAGATGACAGACTCCTAAAAGGAGTATGGTAGTCTAGAAAAGTTGAGAGCCACGGGCTTATAGTATTATGTATGTATGTTAGGAGATTCCAAGCAGGAATCAAGGCACATCTTTCCTGATTTGTAGGGCTGCACACATTCAAATGCTAAAAAGTTAAATTTAGAATATTTAGGAGTACAGCTAACAAGATCTAGGGCATTTTAGTTTGGGTACTAGATCAAAAGGTCTAGCAGGAAGAAAGGGACTGCTATATTGAATCAGACCAGAGATCCATCTAGTCTTGTATTTGTCTCTGAAAGTGACCTATACTAAATATTTTACAGGAAGGAGCAAAATATTCCATAATGGATACTTATGGAATCACATGCTCATAGAATTAGTTCTTTGTATCAGTTCCTTTTCAATTTATCATTGTCCCTTCTCTTAGTACAAAAATAAAAAGCACCCAAATTACCTGCTATATACTGTTCATTATTTTGTATAATGATTATATCTTCTCTGATCTCCTAATCATTTCACTTTCCTCATTTCTAATTTTCTCTGTGATTCTAATCTTGCAAAAGAGCCCATTTTTAAATGATCTGGTTGTCATATTGCCAGCTACATTTATTACTACAAATAATTTCAAACATCAGCAAGTCAGATATTTTATGATCAGAGTCTAGTTTCAAATTTTCTGTATCAGAGGGAAAACAGATTCTGGGGAACCTGTCTGGAACAAACTGTCACTTTAGGGCAAACAAATTTATTTTAACATGCCAACCATACATCCAGCTACAAGGCAATCAGAGTAAATGCATCAGTTACAGGTCATGAATAAACACAACCATAAGACATTACATATATGCACATACAGATCTGTCGAAGTTTCACCATATAAGCAAGTTAACAAATCTTGGACATGTTCCATCTTGCATCAGAAGCAATGTTTGTCACCATTCTCCTGTTCAATTACTCCAGGCAGAGATTTTTAAAACAAGGTGCTCTCTTTACAGAGAAGGTAATAATGGAAATATTGATCTACTGGTTCCAACATGTTGAATCAATTCTGTGCTTGTACGTGTATAAATCTTGTACATGTCAACATGCTCTTTTCTAACAGACTCTTCTATGCTAATTCTTCCTTCAGCACACTCAAAGGAAAACAAAGATTAGCAGCATAAGCTGCCATTTTACAAGACTGTACTTTGAAGTTTGCCATATTCATGTATTTCCAGTGACCAAAAGCTTCAGATATAAATTTTAGGATAGTAAAATAATTTCTATTTTATTATGAGTAAGTTAACCCTTTACTGACCGAAGTTAACTCTGAACATTTATAGATCTACTGTAATATACTACACTACTATAATATACTATACATACAATATGATGGGGGCTAATTTAGCTACAACTAATCAGGAGAAAGATTTTGGAGTCATTGTGGATAGTTCTCTGAAGACACCCACACAGTGTGCAGTGGCAGTCAAAAAAAAACAAAACGGGATGTTAGGAATCATTAAAAAAGGGATAGAGAATAAGACAGAGAATATCTTACTGCCCTTATATAAATCCATGGTACGCCCACATTCTGAATACTGCATACAGATGTGGTCCCCTCATCTCTAAAAAGATATACTAGCATTAGAAAAGGTTCAGAAAAGGGCAATTAAAATGATTAGGAGTTTGGAACAGGTCCCATATGAGAAGAGATTAGAGACTAGGACTTTTCAGCTTGGAAAAGAGGAGACTGAGGGGGGATATGATAGAGGTATATAAAATCATGAGTGGTGTGAAGAAAGTGAATAAGGAAAAGTTATTTACTTGTTCACATAATATAACTAGAGGCTACCATATGAAATTAATAGGTAGCAGATTTAAAACAAATAAAAGGAAGTTCTTCTTCACTCAGGGCACAGTCAACCTGTGGAACTCCTGGCCTGAGGAGGTTGAGAAGGTTAGGACTATAAAAGGGTTTAAAAGAGAACTGGATAAATTCATGGAGGCTAAGTCCATTAATGGCTATTAGCGAGGATGGGTAAGGAATAGTGTCCCTAGCCTCTGTTTGTCAAGGGTGGAGATGGATGGCAGGAGAGAGATCACTTGATCATGACCTGTTAGGTTCACTCCCTCTGGGACACCTGGTAATGGCCACTGCCGGTAGACATGATACTGGGCTGGATGGACCTTTGGTCTGACCCAGTATGGACATTCTTATGTTCTTACTGCATTAGTCTAAGCAGTACCATGATATTTCTTGACCCATTTCTCAAACCCACTTTAAAAAAAAAAAAAAAAAGACTTCCTGGGCACTGCAATCTATAATGCCCTACAGTTTAAATACACCTAATTTTCCCAGAAGCAAGCCATATCCACAGGTAAACATGACAAAGGACTCAAACACAAATGGCCAAACTAAACTATTCCTAATTGTATTACTGTCAACCAACATGGCTTCCTCAATGAGGTCTTGTTCACATGATGCTTTTGGCTTAAAAAATCCCCAGCATTGCTAACACTACATCCAGTGGATTTTCACGAGTCTTATTGTAGACAAGGCAACAGGCTTTGTTCCATCCTTTTGTGATAATCTGCTCCAAGAATTTTCGCCATACGGCACTTTGAATAGTGCACTTGGACTCTTGTCCCTGGTAGCATTTCCACTGTTGCTACTACCAGTAACTATATACCAGCATGAAGTTTTTCCACACAAAAAAGGGCTAATGCAGGCATAGTCTGAGTAGCCAAAAGAACACTTACAATACAAACAGGGGGAGGGTTTGCACACTACAGTAGTTCATATGTATCACTTTCACAACACATTTGAGATTTGGAAGGAGTAAAGGGGATTTATAAATGATCTACCAGCCTATCCTCCTAGCAGCACTGAATCTTACTCTCTTGTAGCTCTAGCCAGAAACAAAATTACATGACTCTGGAAAGAGTTAAAAAAAATGGCCAAACATTTACACAGTACTGGAAGGGAAAGTATGCTATCCTATGTGTACCTGCTTTTACACTACATGAGATAACCTATGACTGGGCTGCAAGGGAGAACAAGGCAAAGAAAACTGCTTCCACGGAAAAATCATAACTCATTTTCCAATCTGTTTGCGATTTGGCATCAATGACTATTTTTGAATTAACAAGCTTAAATGGAACTACTGGTTCTTTTTACAGGAACTCTATTAACTTTGCAGCTCAAGTGGATCAACGTTAAAATATCTAGGAAGGAAGTTACTTTCATTCATTCTCTTAGTTAGGTAATGAACAAAAAAAAACAATCCTGCAATCCTTTTAGACAAACTAGTATTCATATATTCTCTGGCATTAGACAATGGACCAGAAGGCTGAACAAACAACATACAAGTATACAAAAGAGTTAATGTCACAATACAGTTAAAATATTCAAAGAATCAGGAAATGAAAAGATAAAGCTGGTAAAGTAATATTAAGTCAGCTCTCCTCTACACAAGTGTCATTAGGTGGTTGACGCATGATATGTGGGGGCATCTACCTTTGACAAAGACAGGATGGTTTCTGTCCCTTTTACACATCTAGCTTGTCATAGCAGTGAAGTACTGGAGATCTGAAGTTACAGTTAAAAAGCTTGTACGTGCAGCATATGCCAGGAAATAGCCAGGTGCTGAGGCCTCTACCTCCAATCTCTGCTCCCCGTATACTTGAAGTATACGCCTTCGGTGTTGGGGGTGCCGCCCGTAAGCCCACTAAAAATGGTTTAATACACGGAGGCCTACGCGTTCCGCTCCTGGGCGATTTTTGTTAGCAGGACGGCAGTGCAGACCCACCCTCGGCAACGAGGCCCCAAAGCAGGCGGAGGCCGCAGCTGCTACGAGCAGGGTCAGCAAAAGGCGGGTTCCTCCCCCACCCACCGCGAGGGCCGGGAGAGCAGGGGGCTGCGGGAACCCCCTCACCGCGCTGGGAGCGGACACGGGCGCTGCGGCCGTTCAGCACGGAGGGAAGGCGCGAGCGGAGAGGCCGGGGCCCGCAGCCCTCCCTAGTGCTGTAAAATGTCGGCGGCTCAGCACAAGCAGGAAGTCGGGGCCGCGGGGGAGGGGGAAGCGAGCGAGCGCCCCCCCGTATCCGCCCCCTACCCCCGGAAACGCCCGCCAGCTCCCGGGGCCCGGAGATCGAAGCCCCTCCCGCAGACAAGCGGCCACCGCCCACCGGCCCCGCTGCGCCCGGCGGGCCCAGATCCCCGCTGCTCCGGGGGCGCACACCGAGGGCGGCTCAGCGTACACGGAACCCCGGGCCCGGCCCGCCCGCTCCGTGCGGGAAGGGCCCCCCAGCCACGCGCGCGGGGATGCCCGCGCTCCCCACTCCATGGCGGGCGCGGGGCGAGGCTCCCCCCGGGATTCGCTGGGTCCCGTTCCCCGCCGCACTCCCTCACCTCAGAGTCTCCGCCGGGCGTTGGCAGCTCTGTGCGGGTTCTCCTGCGCTCAGGAGCAGGGGCACGCACGCTACGTTACCGCGCACGCACGGAGGGGCCGGCGCAAGAGAGGCTGTGGGCTGGGTCCACGGCTTAGCGGAACTTCCCGACCCCGCCTCCTTGCGGTGGTAGCTCCGCCCCCAAACCTGACCTTCGGCCCCGCCCGCTCCGAGCCGGTTTCCACCCACTGAGGGTCCGAGGCTCGCCCCTCCCCCCGTCTGTCTGGGAACGCCCATTGCGCCCGGCACCTCCCCATCCCCCTGGGCGCCCATTGTGATAGAGCCCTACATCCCCCTGGGCGCAGCCATCCCCATACGCCCTGCCCCCACCCCGCTGGCTGCCCCACTGCACGCATCGCTATAGAGCCCCACTGCATCCCCTGGGCTCCCATTGTACCTATTGCCACCTCACCCTGCCCCATCCCTCTGGGTGCCCCATTGCCTCAGTGCCCTGCCCCATCCCTCTGGGTGCCCCATTGCCTCAGTGCCCTGCCCCATCCCTCTGGGTGCCCCATTGCCAGGGCACTTTCCCTCCATCCCTCTGGGCGCACCCATTGCCTCAGTGCCCTGCCCCATCCCTCTGGGTGCCCCATTGCCAGGGCACTTTCCCTCCATCCCTCTGGGCGCACCCATTGCCTCAGTGCCCTGCCCCATCCCTCTGGGTGCCCCATTGCCAGGGCACTTTCCCTCCATCCCTCTGGGCACACCCATTGCCTCAGTGCCCTGCCCCATCCCTCTGGGTGCCCCATTGCCAGGGCACTTTCCCTCCATCCCTCTGGGCGCACCCATTGCCTCAGTGCCCTGCCCCATCCCTCTGGGTGCCCCATTGCCAGGGCACTTTCCCTCCATCCCTCTGGGCGCACCCATTGCCAGGGCACTTTCCCTCCATCCCTCTGGGCGCACCCATTGCCTCAGTGCCCTGCCCCATCCCTCTGGGTGCCCCATTGCCAGGGCATTTTCCCTCCATCCCTCTGGGTGCACCCATTGCCTCAGTGCCCTGCCCCATCCCTCTGGGTGCCCCATTGCCAGGGCACTTTCCCTCCATCCCTCTGGGCGCACCCATTGCCTCAGTGCCCTGCCCCATCCCTCTGGGTGCCCCATTGCCAGGGCACTTTCCCTCCATCCCTCTGGGCGCACCCATTGCCTCAGTGCCCTGCCCCATCCCTCTGGGTGCCCCATTGCCAGGGCACTTTCCCTCCATCCCTCTGGGCGCACCCATTGCCTCAGTGCCCTGCCCCATCCCTCTGGGTGCCCCATTGCCAGGGCACTTTCCCTCCATCCCTCTGGGCGCACCCATTGCCTCAGTGCCCTGCCCCATCCCTCTGGGTGCCCCATTGCCAGGGCACTTTCCCTCCATCCCTCTGGGCGCACCCATTGCCTCAGTGCCCTGCCCCATCCCTCTGGGTGCCCCATTGCCAGGGCACTTTCCCTCCATCCCTCTGGGTGCCCCATTGCCAGGGCACTTTCCCTCCATCCCTCTGGGTGCCCCATTGCCAGGGCACTTTCCCTCCATCCCTCTGGGCGCACCCATTGCCTCAGTGCCCTGCCCCATCCCTCTGGGTGCCCCATTGCCAGGGCACTTTCCCTCCATCCCTCTGGGCGCACCCATTGCCTCAGTGCCCTGCCCCATCCCTCTGGGTGCCCCATTGCCAGGGCACTTTCCCTCCATCCCTCTGAGCGCACCCATTGCCTCAGTGCCCTGCCCCATCCCTCTGGGCACCCATTGCCTCAGTGCCCTGCCCCATCCCTCTGGGCGCACCCATTGCCTCAGTGCCCTGCCCCATCCCTCTGGGTGCCCCATTGCCAGGGCACTTTCCCTCCATCCCTCTGGGCGCACCCATTGCCTCAGTGCCCTGCCCCATCCCTCTGGGTGCCCCATTGCCAGGGCACTTTCCCTCCATCCCTCTGGGCGCACCCATTGCCTCAGTGCCCTGCCCCATCCCTCTGGGTGCCCCATTGCCAGGGCACTTTCCCTCCATCCCTCTGGGCGCACCCATTGCCTCAGTGCCCTGCCCCATCCCTCTGGGCGCACCCATTGCCTCAGTGTCCTGCCCCATCCCTCTGGGTGCGCCATTGCACCCATCGCTATAGAGCCCTACTCCATCCCCCTGGGCACACCCATCATCACAGTGCCCTGCCCCATCCCTCTGGGTGCCCCATTGCCAGGGCACTTTCCCTCCATCCCTCTGGGCGCACCCATTGCCTCAGTGCCCTGCCCCATCCCTCTGGGTGCCCCATTGCCAGGGCACTTTCCCTCCATCCCTCTGAGCGCACCCATTGCCTCAGTGCCCTGCCCCATCCCTCTGGGTGCCCCATTGCCAGGGCACTTTCCCTCCATCCCTCTGGGCGCACCCATTGCCTCAGTGCCCTGCCCCATCCCTCTGGGTGCCCCATTGCCAGGGCACTTTCCCTCCATCCCTCTGGGCGCACCCATTGCCTCAGTGCCCTGCCCCATCCCTCTGGGTGCCCCATTGCCAGGGCACTTTCCCTCCATCCCTCTGGGCGCACCCATTGCCTCAGTGCCCTGCCCCATCCCTCTGGGTGCCCCATTGCCAGGGCACTTTCCCTCCATCCCTCTGGGCGCACCCATTGCCTCAGTGCCCTGCCCCATCCCTCTGGGTGCCCCATTGCCAGGGCACTTTCCCTCCATCCCTCTGGGCGCACCCATTGCCTCAGTGCCCTGCCCCATCCCTCTGGGTGCGCCATTGCACCCATCGCTGTAGAGCCCTACTCCATCCCCCTGGGCGCACCCATCATCACAGCGCCCTGCCCCATCCTTCTGGGGGCCCACTGCCAGAGCACCCTGCCCTATTTATTTGAGCATCGCATTGTGCCTGTTGCTAGCTTGTGGCCTCTCCATAGCCCTCTGCGTTCTTGCCTATTCCATGCTTTTTCTCTTGTCTCTCCTGCAGCAGCGAAGCCAGTTTGGACACTGGCGGGCAAAAGAGGGGGCATTATTTACTGTTAACTATTTTACAGCACCACCCATGTGCCTGGCCCCGGCTCAATGGAGCTTCTAATCCAAGCTGTAAAAGTGACATGAAGAGTGAGGGGACAAACAGTGGGGAGGGGACAGGCCACTGTCATCTGCCAGATTTTTAATCACCATGGCACCTGGGCCTTGCTTGAATATGGTTAGGTGACACTGGTTAAATCACTGGTGGCTGGGATATGCTCCCACCCTACCTTTACCAGTGATAGGGCAGTGGGTGGTCTAGTGGTTAGGGCACTAAACTGGGGCTTGAGAGCAGAGTTAAAATTTCTGCTTTGCTACAGCCTCCCTGTGTGGCCTTGGGCATGGCACTTAGTCTCTCTATGCCACAGGAAATATTAGCCCTGCCCTGCCTCACAGAGGTGGTGAAGAATAAATACTGTAAATATTGTGAGATGCTCAGAGCCTGCAGTTTGATACTGAACTCCCTTGGAAGTTAGGAGCCTAATTACCTTTGAGGATCTGGGCCTGAGTTTAAGTGATTTACCAATGATAACACAGAAAGTTTGTAGCATATCAAGAGAAACAAAGCTTATCTGGCCGTAGAATGGCTTACCCAGTAGGTGACAGCACCCCTCTTATTGGGGTTCATAATACCAATGCACTTATGTGCACAATGCTCTTAGTTATGTAAGTGCACAGCACTGGTATTAGCCTCCTTTCTCAACTAGGGAGAGAGACTGAACGAGTTAGGAGGAAACATAGTGCTCTGCCAAACCCCGACTTTAGTTTTACTGGGAGGTCAGACATTAAACAGTCTGTAACTTTTACCACTTTAGAGCACCTCCTGAAGCAAAGACAGGCTACACATGCACATCCTGCTTAGAAGCACATTCACAACTCAGCATTTGTCAGATATGGACTGAATGACACATGGGTCCGGAGGAGCCCTGTGCTCAGTCACTAGACACTTTGCAAGCCCCAGACATGTAGATGGAAAATGGCATTCTAAGTGTTTTGGCAAAATCCTAGATTTTTTTTTTTCTTATCAGAAAAGCAAACCCAAGGGTGGCATCTGCTGGACTCCCCCAGACCTCACTCCCCTGAAAGAGGCAGCAGATGAAAGGTGCCCTGCAGGCCCCAGTTTCCTGAACTTTCTATGACAGGCTGCCCCCCACTGGGTCTGAGTCATGCATCATCATCAGGGATTCTAATTTTCTGTGATAAAAAACCCAAAATTGTCCAGTTAAAAAAAAGAAGTTTTAAAACAATTAAAATAAAACACTGAACTTTAGTTTCCCTAGCCACAATATATATGGATATCTGTTTTATAGTTAAAAATTTTAAATATAAGCTGACAGCCCAAGCTCCACCAATTCTCCCATTTATCCAAATTTTTGATGATCTGATCTGACCTCAGTCTCAATTAGATCAGATAATCGGGGTTCCACTGTGTGTTTTTATGTTTTCACAAAATGTAAAAACGAAAGATTCTCTGTAAAAATGCAAATTCCACATTTTTCCATGGCAAACAGATTTCTAGGATCCTTGGTCATCAGGAGAGGGGCCGCGCCAAGAAAAAGGTACTTCATTTTAGTCATTTAAGACCAACTGATTTATTTCACTTTCTGCAATGCCTGGTTAGGTGCTCTGGGGACACATCCATTCAATCCACATACAGAGTCCGCAACATACCTCTCACCCAAACCCCAGCTCTCTAGGAAAGGGGATGGGAGTTCTCTTAGAAGCTCAGCCCTTAGCCACCAGGAGAACAATTAAATGGACCTTGCAATATGATCTGAAGGGCAACAGCTTCAAAACTTTGCTAAACTGAAGCAGGGAGCAGATTCCACCATTGCAGCCCCCTCTCTGAGCTTCCCTTCCTCTCCCTTCCAGTTAAATGGTTGGGGACATAGCTGCAGGAACTGGGGGTGCTACCACAGCCTCTGGTTTGAAGTGGTTTCCTATAAATATATAAGGGGTTTGCACCCTCACTATAAAAACTGTCCCAGCACCCCTGGGTAGGGAGGATTAAGCTTGGATGTCTCAGACGATCTGGGCCACTGGGCTATAACAGGCACATCTTGCAGGTGTTCAGGACAGAATCCATTTAAGGCTTTCTAGGTTAAAACCTGCACTTTAAAGGGGCAGCCAGTACCTATAAGAGCACAAAGGTAAT